TTCATCTAACATAGCATGTTGCCAAGCTGGAGAAGCAGCAGCCTCTTGGTAGGATTGAGGTTCAACAGTAGCAGCAGAGTTAGTAGTAGAAGCAGCAGTGAAACAAGTGAGATTTTTAGCTTTAGATCTGGTAAGCATAGGATGAGTGGGAAGACAATGAAGATCAATTGTGATAGAAGAGATAGGAATTTGAGATGTAGAAGAAGGAATGGATGAATCAGAAGGAGTGGAAATAGAGTTAGGCAGAGGCAGAACAGAGGACTGTGGCTGAACAGAAACAGATGAAAAATGAGGCAGAGCAGGTGATGGCAGATCAGGTGATGATGGCAGATCAGGTGACTGCTGAGAGACAGAACAAGGTATTTGTTGCTGCTGCTGAGAGACAGAACAAGGAGGATTTTGCTGAGAAACAGAAATAGGAGCAGAAGAAGATGAAGGTAAAGTAGAGGTATTAGGAAATTCTGAAGCAGAAGAAGAATGAGCTGTAGAAGGCAGTGAAGCAGACTGCTGGTCTGGAGAAGCATGCCAAAAGAAATCAATCAAAGTAGGAGAGATTGTAGAAGAAGGTTGAGATGACAACTGAAAAGGAAAGGATAATTCATCAAAGACAACATGTCTAGAAATATACACTTTCCCAGTTTTAGGGTCAAGACATCTATATCCTTTGATAGAAGGTTGATAACCAATAAACACACAAGGGATAGACTTGGTTTGAAGTTTATGTGATGTATAAGGCTTAAGCCAAGGATAACATCTACAACCAAAAGTCCTCAACAGCTGGTAATCAGGCTTTTGATTGAATAATACTTCATAAGGAGTGAGATTATTCAATTTAAGAGTAGGATGCCTATTAACAAGAAAGACAGCTGTAGCAAGAGCATCAAACCAATAAACCAAAGGCAAAGAGGAGTGATGCATGAGAGTGATAGTGGTTTCTATGAGATGCCTATGCTTTCTCTCAGCAACACCATTTTGAGAGGGAGTGTGAGGACAAGACAATTGATGGTCAATTCCTTTTTGTTTAAGAAAATCTTGAAAAGCATTACTGAGATATTCACCCCCATTGTCACTCCTTAATATCTGAAGTTTAGTGGCAAACTGAGTTTCAACAAAAGCTTTGAATTCAAGAAACTTAGCAAACACTTCACTTTTATAATGGAGAGGAAAAAGCCAAGTAAATTTACTAAAATCATCAATGAAGAGTACATAGTATTTAAAACTAGAAACAGAAGCTGAAAAGGGGCCCCATACATCAGAATGAATAAGGGCCAAAGGTTTATTGACAGTTGTATTAGACAAAGAAAAAGGCAACCTATGGCTCTTGGAAACACAACAATGTTCACAAAGTGGAGAGCCTTTATTTCCTAAAACAGAAGACTTAGAAACTAAGTGATGCTGAGTTAAGATGTGATGCAACTTCTTGGAAGAAGGATGTCCAAGTCGAAAATGCCAAATGGATGTGGTGGCAGGTGATGCAGCAGTAGCAGGAGAACAAGAAAGGCAGAGTGGTCTTGAAACATCAGCAGAAAATGAAGACACAGGAGTAGGTAGAGAAGATGGCACAACAGCAGCAGGTGAAGACGAGATGAGAGGATAAAGTCCATGAGAATAGAAGCCTTTATACAGAACCTGCTGTGTAGCCTTGTCCTGAATAAGAAAGGAATGTTCATCAAAGGTAACAGTACAATGGTTATCTTTAGTTAGTTGATGAACGGAAAGCAAATTGGAAGAAAGAGTAGGAACATGAAGCATTTTGTTAAGATGAAAGGGAAAGGAAGGTGTAGGAAGTAGGCCTTTACCAGTATGAGCAATAGGAAGAGTGGATCCATCACCAATGGCTACTTGTTCATGTCCTTGATAAGGTTGATAGCAGGAGAGATGATTAAGATCATTAGTCACATGATTAGTAGCTCCAGAGTCTAAAAACCAGTTGACATCAGTGCTAGAGGATGGAGCAGATGCTATATATGCTTTAGAGTGATTTGAATGTTGTGAGGGCAGAAAACTAGGAGGTTGATCATTCTGATCATTCTGAAAAGCTGTGTCCAACCTGTGCCAACAATTTATGGCAATATGATTGGACTTGCCACAGATTTGACAGATTACTGTGGAAGGAGGAGAGGAACTACGTGCAGGAGTATAGCTGTTGCTATTGTAGCTGTTATAGCCTGGTTTACCCCTCTGAAAAGTGCTAAAGCTAGTACCTCTAGTACCGCTCTGAGAATAACCATAGTGGTGAGCTGGACCTCCTCGAAACCTGCCTCCATCGCGGCCTCTGAAATAACCGCGGCCTCTGAAATTGCCTCTATGTCCTCCTCTGTTAGAAAAATGACCTCTGTGGGTGTTATAAGCAAACAATCCTGGAGTTTCAGCAGCTTGTACATGCTTAAGAGAAGCCTCTACATGAATAGATTCAGAACACAGTAGAGAGCACAGTTGCTCTAAAGAGATAGGACCAGATCTAGCACGTACAGTAGTCTTTAATGCATTGTATTCATCAGGCAAACCATTCAAAATTAGAAGAATAAGATCTTCATCCTCAACAGGAGAAGATACTAAAGCAAGTTGATCAGCAATGACTTTGAAGTGATTCAAATAGTCTTCCATTGTGCCTCCTTTCTTAGTGATCTTACTCAATTTAGTCTTTAACTGATGTATATGAGACCTAGAAAGAGAGGTAAATCGTGTGGCCAGAGTAGTCCAGACTTCATGACTTGATTGACAATGAATTACAGTAGTGAAAATAGAGGGAGATAGTGTAGCAGTGATACAACTCAGTAGATGTGCATCAATAGTATTCCACTGAGTATAAGCTGGATTCAAGACTTGAAGATTCTGTGAATCAGGCACAGTGGATGGAGGACATACCTCAGATCCATCCACATAACGAAGAAGATTGGTGGCCTTCAAAATGTTTTGAAGTTGATTTTTCCACACTATGTAATTTGAAGAATCAAGTTTTGTAGTAACAAATGCACTGAGATTGGAGATTAACAAGGTCAAATTTGAAGGTAATGATGAAGACACAGAAGAAGAAGAAGAAGAAGAAGATGAAGCTGCAGCAATGGTGGAAGCCATTGATGAACTCTTTAGATGCTCGTGAGAGCCAAGTTGCTCTGATACCATAAAGAAAATAGAGAAGATGTTTGATCTATTTCCAATACACAGAATAGAAGCTACAGCAGTCCTTTTATACAAGTGTAATACAGATTTAACCTGACTTGTAACTATCTAACCATCTTGAGTTACTTGTTCTAACAATATAACAGCTTTGATTAATATCTCTAACAAACTAACTAATCTCTAACAAACTAACTAATTATCCATGTGCAGGTACAGCAGTTAATAGCTGAGCTGGTTGAGCTTCTTGAACTCTTTGATCTTGAGACTTAGCTGGAGGCTTAGCAGCAGCAATAGATTGATCTGGAGGCTTAGCAGCAGTAGCAGAATCTTTATCAGTAGTCATGTTAGTTCTTTGGGCTGCTTTTGGGAATTTTTTTCTGAGAAAGTCTACCAGTCATATTTAGGTTCAACATTTTTAAAACATAACTTGGTTTTTAGTCTACTGGAGTTAAATTAACCATATGTATTAAAGAACTAATCATCCTATATCTGTTACCGAAGACTAAACAGTGAAGGGGGTTCCTTAATCAAATGCAAGTTATGAAACAAAAAATGGTCTCCTTTATCAAAAGCGAGTTATTAAGTGGCTGGGACTAGGTCAAACAAGCTGAAAGGAACATTGTTGAAGTTATAATGGGTTGAAATATCCTATTTGAGAACATGTTGTTCGGTAGATTAACATGATTATGCAGCTACACCTCCAAAGGGTCCATATTGATTGTAACAAAGCCTTCTGGTTAGGTTTGTCTCTAGATTTTTGTTTAAATTCAACCTTCTCTTCAGAGTAAGGTGGGTTTATTGAAAAAATGTGAGTTATATCAAATTGAAAAAATAAGGTTTTCATTGTCAAATTTGAGGTTAAGAAAAAGTAAAGAGTTATTGTAAGTGGAAGGGACATCGAGCGGGCCTGAAACGAACTTTTTCAAAGTTAGAATGGAGTGAATGTAATGTTATGTTTGGGTAGACGAAACTAGATTACGTGATTATGCACCCCGATCTTTGATGGTCTGTACTAATAGGCCTTCGAGTTAGGTTTGTGTCTAGAATTGTTTCTAGATTGAACCTCTTATTATCTATGAAACACAAATATGGACTCTCGACATGAATATGACATGATATAGACACATGGAAGCAACAATTTTCGAAAATCAAGACACGGCATGACAGAGATGACAAGACAAGAAATAAATAAATATATATATATATATATATATACATATATGTACACAAAAGCAATAACAATTTAATTTTTTTTATTGTTAAATGCTCTAAAATCTATTTTAGAAAGCTCTATTCATAAATAAATTGGAAATTTTAGGCTTTCAAAATCCTAAAATAAAAAATTCTAATAGAGGAAGTATTAATAGGCTTGAATCCACACTGTGAATTTAATTATTGGCTTCCAAGTTATTCCTTCAAAATTGTGATGGTTGGACATTTGTCCCCCTAGTGTCCAATTCTAAAAAATAATTATAAACTTATAGGACAATTGAATGCGTATCCAGTATCCACACATGTCGGTGTTGGGGAGGGTCTAATGAGTATTAGTATTGACATTGACATATCACCTTCTTAAAAATTTCCATGCTTCTTAGCTTATTATATTCAACAATGATAGAGACCACTAATTTTGGAACTCTAAAAAGATCACTAATGACATGGCACTCAATAAAAAAAGAAAAAAAATATAACACCAAGGCCAAAATATCAAATCATTTCTGGTGGGGCCCACTGCCACATCATTAGTGATAGCACTAAGTAGTGCTCTCACTCATTTTCCTATTATATTTTCTTCTTATATTCCAGTCTTATCTTTTACTGAGGTCAAATGGAAGTATTTATTTCAAATATCTTACCAACTCATTTAATACTGACAGGAATTGATGCCCGGAGGTGTAAATTCTCCTGTACGTGCTTTCAAATCAGTTGGCGGACAACCTATTATTATGGATTCTGTTAAGGGCTCTAAAATGTGGGACATAGATGGCAATGAGTATATCGATTATGTTGGTTCGTGGGGGCCAGCCATCATTGGTCACGCAGATGATGAGGTTCTATTCCTACTGCTATTCCCTGATTTAATTTTGGCATTTGAAAATCTAAGATAACGTTCATCTAGAGGCAATGTGGATATCCAACAATGGAAGTATCACAAATCCATTTCTTCAGTGAAAGGGATTTGGTGTCTTTGTTAACAGTTTTTATGATTTCTTCCATAAAAGTTGGCGCATTTTACAATGACACTTTAGACTTACCATTTGACAAAGGGAACACCCTCTTAAATAAGATCATTAATTGCTATAATTACACCTTTTGTCACACCTTAAGGATATGATTTCAATGGAGAAAGCTTTTCATTTTTATTGATTGGAAAATCCCTTCATCAGAAACAGGGTTGGCAAAGTTAGCAGTCATTTTCCCTATAGAGGAAAAAAAATAAAAGAGAAAATGTCTTGGAGTTCTCACAAACAATTGATGTGAATTACACTGTGTTATGACTTTAAATACAAAGCTTCTTGGACAAATTTTTACCTTGCAGGTACTTGCAGCTTTGGCTGAAACAATGAAGAAGGGAACAAGCTTTGGTGCTCCATGTCTTCTAGAAAATGATCTGGCAGAGATGGTCATCTCAGCTGTTCCAAGTATAGAAATGGTCCGGTTTGTCAACTCGGGCACAGAAGCATGCATGGGTGTTATCCGCTTGGCTCGTGCTTTCACTCGTCGTGAGAAGATCATCAAGTTTGAGGGTTGCTACCATGGCCATGCAGATCCATTTCTGGTAAAGGCAGGCAGTGGGGTTGCCACCCTAGGGCTCCCCGACTCGCCCGGTGTTCCCAAAGGAGCCACCTACGAAACCCTAACATCCCCTTTCAATGATATCTCAACTGTTAAAAATCTATTCGACGAGAACAAGGGAGATAGAATTGTTTCTAGATTGAACCTCTTATTATCTATGAACCACAAATATGGACTCTCAACATGAATACGACATGATATAGACACATTGAAGCAACAATTTTTGAAAATCTAGTCACGGCATGACAGAGACGACAAGACAAGAAATAAATATATATATTTTTACACATGTACACAAAAGCAATATCAATTTTATTTTTTTTATTGTTAAATGTTCTAAAATCTATTTTAGAAGGCTCTATTCATAAATAAAATGGAAGTTTTAGGCTTTCAAGATCCTAAAATAAAAAATTCTAAAGGAGGAAGGATTAATAGGCTTGAATCCACACTCTGAATTTTAATTATTGGCTTCCAAGTTTTTCCTTCAAAATTGTGATGGTTGGACATTTGTCCCCCTAGTGTCCAATTCTAAAAAATAATTATAAACTTATAGGACATATTTGAATGCGTATCCGCACGTGTCGGTGTTGGGAGGGTCTGATGAGTATTAGTGTTGATATTGACAGATCACATTCTTAAAAGTTTCCATGCGTCTTAGCTTATTATATTTTCTTCTTATATTCTAGTCTTATCTTTTACTGAGGTCAAATGGAAGTATTTATTTCAAATATCTTACCAACTCATTTAATACTGACAGGAATTGATGCCCGGAGGTGTAAATTCTCCTGTACGTGCTTTCAAATCAGTTGGCGGACAACCTATTGTTATGGATTCTGTTAAGGCTCTAAAATGTGGGACATAGATGGCAATGAGTATATAGATTATGTTGGTTCATGGGGGCCTGGCATCATTGGTCACACAGATGATGAGGTTCTATTCCTACTCCTATTCCTTAGTTTTATTTTGGGATTTGAAAATCTAAGATATTGTTCATCTAGAGGCAATCTGGATATCCAACACTGGAAGTATCACAAAGTGGGGGGCTACATATTTTTTTTGCTCTACTGTTTTTCTACTTTTTGTGCTTCCATTTCTTTAGTGAAAAGGATTTGGTGTATTATGATTTCTTCCATAGAAGTTGGTGCATTTTACAATGACACTTTAGACTTACCATTTGACAAAGGGAACACCCTCTTAAATAAGATCATTAATTGCAATAATTACTTTTTGTTAAACCTTAAGGATATGATTTCAATGAGATAAAGCTTTTCATTGGTTTATATTGATTGAAAAATCCCTTCATCAGAAACAGGGTTGGCAAAGTTAGTAGCCGTTTTCCCTATAGAGGAAAAGAAATAAAAGAGAAAATGTCTTGGAGTTCTCACAAACAATTGATGTGAATTACATTGTTATGACTTTAAATACAAATCTTCTTGGACAAAATTTTTTTCCATTCATGTCCTTGTTTGTTGCTTAGCTCATTTCTATTTGTTAAAGTTGAACATAGATTCACTTACTAACTTTATATTACCTTGTTTCTTGTTTTTGTTATTTTAAGTATAGATTCATCGAGTGACATTATACTGCTCAATGATCATCTCAAACAAAAAACACAAAAGCAAAAATCCAGTGATTGGCACTATTAGGTTTATACGGGTCCGTCTTCCCTTCATATGTATTGAACTTCGGCTGAAGGAAGCCTG